TCAACAATAGGAAATTTATCTGTCCTGCACAGGATTTTAAATTCTTTGCACCATAATTGTTGCTCATATACAGGTCGGATAAGCTCAGCTGTCCCACTAGGGAATTGAAACTTGTCAGAGACAAGCTATAAGCCAGCAGACACTGAACCTGGAAAGAACCTATCTGTACAATATAAAAAAAGCGAATTGAACATGATTCATATTTCAAGCTTTACACATTCATACATGTCTTGCAATTCAAGGGCCAAGACTTTAAGACACAGCATTCAATGTTTTGAGCTCAAAAAAGTCTCTTAGATCAAAAATATTTTCGATTTTGGTCAATGAGCAGGTTGAGCTCAGTACTACCATAGGAAACTGTGTTCAGGTCATGGCACTTTTCTGCATGACAAAAATATTTTCCTCAGTGAGCTGAATCGAGTTTATATTCGAGATGGGGCATATCTAAATAGCATCTGAACAAATTCTGAGCAGGATCGCAGCATCATAGCTTTCTTCAGTGCAAGTTTGAATGATCCGCAGATGCATCTGCTGTAAGGGCAACCTCGAGGCCCGATCTCAGAGTCCTGACAAGGGAGAGTCCAAAGCGTCAGATAGGGGATTGACTAGTACAGGAGACTGGCAAACCTGACAAGGGAGAGTCCAAAGAGAAACCGAGTTGGGGACTCTCCTTGTCAGGGCCCAATATATATAGCCTACGGAACAATGGATGACGAAGCACAATGGAAGCGCTAGACAATGGGGCCAGGGAACAATGAGGGGCCGGATCGGGGGGAACAATGGGAGCCGGACCGTCGGAACAATGGGGGTGCGGGCCGGAGTGTCATGTGGACGCGCTTGGCAGGGAAGTCCGGACCGAAGCATGTGACGCTTGACAGATGGCACGTGCGCGGTCACATGCGAGATCCCATGATGATCGGACGAAAGCAGGGGTTCCCCTGACATCACCCCCCCTCTTGATTGCGGCGCCTCGACGCAAGGTACGGTTAGGGGTCAATGAGTTCCTGAAGGGTAGCGAGTCGAATACGGCTGCTGCAATGACGCGTGGCTTTCCCGGGTATCTGCGGTAGAACGCTGCCACTGCGTCGTCAGCAAAAACATCTGAGTGCTTGACCCACTGGTCATGAGACGGGTCGTAGCCCTTCCATCGTACTCGGAACCAGACACTCCAGTAGCGCATCTTTGCGTCTAGGATCTCCTCCACTTCCCACTCCTCTCCTTCGCCTTGTCCCAGGACGGGGGGTGGTTCCTCATGACGCGGGCGAGTGGGGAACGGGTCGTCTTCGGCCAACTGGAGCTTGACCACAGGGAAGACTGGGTGGAGGCGAGAGAGGCTGGTGGGGAGGGCGAGCTTGTATGCGCCCCGGCCTACGACTTGGGTGACTTTGAAGGGGCCCAGGCATCGGTGGGAGAGGCCGCGAGAGGGTCGCGTCGTCGTGATGTCTGAGGCGTCGAGCCAGACTCGGCTGCCAACCTTGATGTCGGGAGCAGTAGTCCTTTGTCGGTCATAGTACCTCTTGTACTCGTCCTTTGCTTTGACAAGTGCCGATTTAGCCTCGGTTACACCCGATGCGACCCGGTCCAGAAACTCATTGGCGGACTCTGCTCGGGTGGAGCGCTGCTCTGTTGGCTCGAATCCCATGCGTGGTAAACGTCCTGTGTCCGTCATGAAGGGAACCTGCTGGGTCGAGGAGTGGACGTGGTTGTTGTAGGCGAACTCAGCTGCGGGCAAGAGTTCATCCCAGTCGTCCTGCTTGTAGCTGGTGAAGATCCGGAGGTACTGCTCCAACTCCTGGTTGACCCGTTCGGTCTGGCCATCAGTCTGCGGGTGGTAAGCGGTGGACGTGGCAGGGGAGACGCCAACCAGCTTCCATAGCTCTTGGGTGAAGTCTGCCACAAACTGAGGGCCACGGTCCGAGACGTATTTGATGGGTAATCCGTGGTGTCGCCAGACGTGCTTGTAGAACAACCGAGCCATCCCTTCGGCCGAGAGGCGAGTGTGGCACTCGACGAAGTGGGCACGCTTCCCCAGCATATCAACGACCACCATAATGGCGTCGTAGCCGTGCGCCTCAGGCAGCTCCACGATGAAGTCCACCGACACCGATTCCCAACGTTCCGAGGGGATCTCCGTGGGGTGAAGCTCTCCGGTGGGGAGTCGTCGGAGGGCCTTGGTCCGACAGCACAGGTCGCAGGTGGCCACGTACCGGCCAACATGTCGTGAGAGCTGGGGCCACCAGTAGTTCCGGGAGACCAGCTCCAGCGTCTTGAAGCGGCCAGCATGCCCCGCAACGCGGGTGTCATGATGTTGCTCAAGGATGCGTCGCCGTAGGTCTCTGTCACGCGGGACCACTAGCTTCCCACGGAAGTAGAGGAGGCCGTCCTGGATGCGCCATTCCGCTGCTACAGCGGAGCGGGCCCCCTTCATCCCTTTCAGAAGCCGTCGCGCTATAAGCGCAAGTTCTTCCTCAAGGTCAGGGTCACCGGAGAGCAATTCCCGAATGTCGCGGACAAGCGGGGCTTCCGGGCCAGAGACGGACAGTCCTTCAAGTGCTCGCACATGGAACAGTTCCGGTTTCAACAGGGTAACGTCCGTGTTGTCCGAAGGGGCTCCGTGGTCCGGGCGTCGGGAGAGTGCGTCTGGTCGTCCCATGAGCCGGCCAGGTTGGTGGTGGAGCGTGAAGTCGAAGCGGGATAGGTAGAGCGACCATCGGGCTTGCCGGCGATTGAGGTTCTGGGCCTTGCGGAAGTACTCCAGGTTCTTGTGATCGGTCCAGATCTCCACCGGGTACCCGGCGCCCTCCAAGAAGTGCCGCCACTCTTCTAGAGCTCGCACAATTGCAAGCATCTCTTTGTCGTGGATCTCGTAGTTGCGCTGGACGTCGTTAAGGCTTTTGGAGAAGAAGGCGACTGGGTGCCACTTGTCGTCTGAGGGGGACTGCTGCGAGATGACGGCTCCTGTGGCAAAATCGGAGCTGTCAGCCTCTAGGCGATAAGGACGGGAGGAGTCTGGGAGGAGAAGAACCGGCGTAGAGGTAACTGCATCCTTCAAGGCCTGGAACGAAGTGGACTCGTTGTCGCCCCAAGACCATGGTACGTCCTTCTTGGTGAGGTCAAAGAGCGGGCGTGCAACGTGCGAGAAGTCCCGGATAAACCTCCGGTAGAAGTTAGTGAACCCAAGGAACTGCTGCACTTCCTTCTTGTTAGAGGGGGCCGGCCATTCGGCCACGCCTGCCACTTTGACGGGGTCCATCTTGACGTGGTTGTGGGAGATGATCACGCCGAGGTACTCGATGGACTCCATCTCGAATTCGCACTTCTCGGCTCGGAGGTATAACTTGTTTTCGCGGAGGCGCCGGAGGACTTCGTTCACAATACGACAATGGAGGTGAGGATCGGAGTGAGCAATGAGGATGTCGTCCAGGTACACCATGACGTCGCCCGAGAGGATGAGGTCCTGGAGGATGTCATTCATCATGGTCTGGAACGTCGCAGGGGAGTTGGTAAGGCCGAAATACATCACCAGTGGCTCGAAGAGCCCACGGTTGGTCCGAAACGCAGCCTTCCACTCGTCTCCTTCTCGTATCCGTACGTTGTTGAAGCCCCATCGAACATCGAGTTTGGTGAAGAAGCGGGCACCCTTGAGCTTGTTGATCAGGTTGTTGATCAAGGGGAGGGGGTACCGATTCTTCACTGTCATTGCATTCAGTGCCCGGTAATCCTGGACAAACCGTAGGCTGCCATCCTTCTTCTTGACAAAGAAGACGGGGGAGGCCATGGGGGACTTCGAGGGTCGGATTCGGCCGGTGGCCATGCCTTCTTCGATGAAAGCGTCGAGCTGCTTCTGCTCCAAGGGGGAGATAGGGTAGACCTTGCAGTTTGTTGGCTTTGCATCGGGCACCAGTTCGATGGCGTGGTCCCAAGGGCGACGTTCCGGAAGATTGTCGAAGGATTCCTTGCTGAAAACATCCTCGAACTCGCGCGCCCACTCGGGTATGGAATCTCGAGCGGGGGCGGAGTTCTTGGCAAACGCCTCTGCGAGACGCTGGGAGACGGTGCTAGTGGCTCGGATGTCTTCAGAAGGGTTGAAACGGGTGTAGAAGATACGGTCACCGGTTTCCAGGCAGTCTCCTTCTTCATCGGAATCTTCTCCGTCGTCTTCCTGGAGTAGCGGCATAGCCTCGTCTTCGCGATCTTCCATGTCGACGACGCAGATGGAGGGGGCGGGGCCTTGTCGGGCCGACCGGAGTGCTCGGGCCGAAATTCGGGCTATCCGTCTTTCTTGGCGAGACTCCTTGGTGCAGGTGGAGCAGCCGGACGGGCAGCGGCTCATCTTCACTTCCTGCGTGTCCCAGTTAATCTCCGGGTTGTGCTTCCGAAGCCAGGAGTAGCCGAGGATCAGCTTCTGCTTGCCAAGCCGAGTGACAGCAAGCTGGACCCGCTCACTGTGTCCTTGGTAACGCAGGACCACATTGACAACTTGTCGAATGGAGCCAGCTTCGTTTGGCGTGCCGTCCACATTGTAGACTGGGATAGGCTGGGAGAGCTGCCGGACCGGAAGTCGGTTTTCGGAGGCGTAGGTGGAGTCGATGAAGTCCGACGTGGCGCCGCAGTCGACCAGTCCGTTGAGAGAGAGCTGGACTGCGTTGTCGGTGGACTGGATCTCCAGGGGGAGGTGCAGGGAGTTGGCGCCAGGGGAGGCCGCAACTACATAGCGCTGAGGGAGTTTTCGTTCCCACTTTTCCTTGCGGACCAGCGGGGCTGAGCGGGGGGCAAGAGGTACGTCTACCGTTTCGTTTGTGGGGGAAATGAGGTCGCATTCATCATACAGACATTCGAAACGATTACGTGAGGCGATCGAGGGCGTACTATTCACTCGTCGCGGGGGAGAAAACCCTGCTCCAACTCGTCGGCAATCTCCGCTTCGTGATCTTCTACAGCCGCTGTAGTCGCTAGCTGGGCCACTAATTCCGCCAACAGGCCGCTTCCCAGCTGATTGATCACTTCGTCCAGGACGTCAGCGTGCCGGACATCAGCGGGGGTCGGGCAGTCTCGGGCCAGGTGTCCTGGGCTGCCGCATCGGAAGCAGGTGCGACAAACACCGGTGCGGGCTCTGGTTCGGTCGATCTCCATGGGAATGCCCGGTGGGAGGACTACTGGGGCTGGTCGGGGGGCAGGAGGTGGAGCAACCACCGGAGCAGCCACGGGGCGGGGACGGGGAGCCACCGGAGGCGGGGCGCGGTGTGGAGAGAACGCCTGTCCTCGTGCGGCCCGGGCAGCCACCTCAGCGTTGTACTGGCGGAATGCGCGGGTGCGCCACTCCGAGTAGTTTGTGAGGCTAGGTGGGTTACCGGAGGTCGTGATCGCTTGATTGATCCTGGGGTCTAGACCCGCCCGGTACTTGGTGACTTTGACCAAGTTGTCGGAGTACCCCGCCAAGTCGAGGAGGTCGTCGAACTCGTCCGTGTATTTGAACACGTCACGGGATCCCATGTAGTAGGCATGGGTCTCCAGCCGTGCCAGGGCGTGGTCTTGCTCGTTCTCCTCGACAAACCGGAGCTTGAACTCGGCCACAAAGGAGGACCAGGTCGGAAATGGGAAGACGAGGCGCTCTGACATGCGTTCTGACCAGGAGGCCGCCGAGTCCTTGGACATGTAGGAGAGGGCGAAACGTACCACCCGCTCTTCTGATACTACCCCGTTCACATGGAAGGCCTCAGGGAGGAGGCGCCAGTACTGCTTGACGGAATGGAGAAACGTCTTGCCCTGGGTGCGATCTCCGTCAAACGCGAATGGGGGATTGGGGCGGATGAGGGGTCTCGAGCTGGCCTGTTGGCCAGTAAATACACCTGGACCCACTGCCGGAGACGGGGCAGGGACAGGGGCAGGCTGCTGCTGTTCGATTATGAAGTTGTTGAGGAGTCCCTCTATTCGCTGCATGGCTTCCTCTAGATTACCAAGTCGCTGCTCAGGGGAGGACCCGTGGTCTTCTTCTTCCATGTAGGACATGATGATCGTAGAGGGGGAGGAGGGGACAAGATTGGAAGTGAGAGGCGTATGACGCTATCAGCGGTCTTCACAAGCTTGTCCAGTTATCCCTAGGAACTCGGTTTCTGCTGTAAGGGCAACCTCGAGGCCCGATCTCAGAGTCCTGACAAGGGAGAGTCCAAAGCGTCAGATAGGGGATTGACTAGTACAGGAGACTGGCAAACCTGACAAGGGAGAGTCCAAAGAGAAACCGAGTTGGGGACTCTCCTTGTCAGGGCCCAATATATATAGCCTACGGAACAATGGATGACGAAGCACAATGGAAGCGCCAGACAATGGGGCCAGGGAACAATGAGGGGCCGGATCGGGGGGAACAATGGGAGCCGGACCGTCGGAACAATGGGGGTGCGGGCCGGAGTGTCATGTGGACGCGCTTGGCAGGGAAGTCCGGACCGAAGCATGTGACGCTTGACAGATGGCACGTGCGCGGTCACATGCGAGATCCCATGATGATCGGACGAAAGCAGGGGTTCCCCTGACATCTGCAAGATCAACATTTCAAAATTGTGTCCCTGTGAAGGCTATGATGCTGCGATCCTGCTCAGAATTTGTTCAGATGCTATTTAGATATGCCCCATCTCGAATATAAACTCGATTCAGCTCACTGAGGAAAATATTTTTGTCATGCAGAAAAGTGCCATGACCTGAACACAGTTTCCTATGGTAGTACTGAGCTCAACCTGCTCATTGACCAAAATCGAAAATATTTTTGATCTAAGAGACTTTTTTGAGCTCAAAACATTGAATGCTGTGTCTTAAAGTCTTGGCCCTTGAATTGCAAGACATGTATGAATGTGTAAAGCTTGAAATATGAATCATGTTCAATTCGCTTTTTTTATATTGTACAGATAGGTTCTTTCCAGGTTCAGTGTCTGCTGGCTTATAGCTTGTCTCTGACAAGTTTCAATTCCCTAGTGGGACAGCTGAGCTTATCCGACCTGTATATGAGCAACAATTATGGTGCAAAGAATTTAAAATCCTGTGCAGGACAGATAAATTTCCTATTGTTGATAGAACTATGCAGGTAGCAAAAAAGACATCTTAGATACATGCTGCAGAGACAGAGGACATCCATTGAGGCTATATTGAGCAGATATGTCCCACAAAGAGACTGCGGAGGGTCATGTGACACATCCGCAACCATGTCACTAGCTTCTGCAGATGCTTCTGCGGATGGTTGAAATAGCATCCGCAGATAGGAGAATCACTGTTTGGCTTGCTTACATATCAAATTCCATGCAATATCCCTTCCAGAAATTGTGTAATGAATTGTATTGGTCAATAGCATTATTCATTCAAGTGATGTAATGTATTTGGGCTGTCTGGGCAGCAGCCACATATTTAGCTGGCCAATTTGGCTGAAGATGCATCAGCAGTTCATTTCCTTGTGTGCTCTGGATGTCCCCAGAGCCTCTGGAGCTCGGTGCACTGGCTAAAATGTCAGTAGATATATGCTGCATAAGATTGGCTTGTGGGACAGAGCCACAGCCCCCATTCCAATGTGCAGATCCATTTGTGCACCAGATGAACAATGTTTCAGAGGCTCTTCAGGCCATTCACATAGAAGAAGCAGGGCCTGCAAAGATTATTTTGAGTGCAGATGGATCCGCAGGACCCATCAAATCCCTGTGCGGATGTTCAAGGACCATCTGCAATGCACCAAAATGATGCCATCAAGGGCATCACCAGTAAAATGAGATGCGGATGGATCAGCAGATGTTTTTAGAGCCTGCATGCAGATGATTGGGCTGGATCTGCAGAGCTCTGATGCAGAGGGCGACCCCAGGCCAAAGAGTCTGCAGGGCCTGTGCTGAAATCTGGCTCTGGACCGCAGGGGGCGGATGCATCCGCACAGCACATATTCAAGCTGTGGTTGATGCAGGAGGATACTGGCTGCATGCACCGATTATAGCAGCTAACAGTGTGCAATTTTAACTGTCTACAAAGCCTGTGCCAAGCGGAGCCTGCCCCAATCTGGCCCCGGACAGCAGGTGGCGGATGCATCTGCACAGCATGCTCTCAAGCTGCTGTCAATGTGAGAGGAGCCTGGCTGCATGCACCGATCATAGCAGGTGATTGTCTGTAATTTTAACTGTCCACAGAGCCTGTGCCAAGCAGAGCCTGCCCCAATCTAGCCCTGGACAGCAGGTGGCGGATGCATCTGCATGGCACACTTTTAAGCTGCTGTCAATGTGAGAGGAGCCTGGCTGCATGCACCAATCATAGTAGGTGATTGTCTGTAATTTAAACTGTCCACAGAGCCTGTGCTGAGCAGGGCCTACCCCAATCTGGCCCTGGACAGCAGGTGGCGGATGCATCTGCATGGCACACTTTTAAGCTGCTGTGGGTGCTGGCAAGGGCTCTCTGGGTTCTAAGGAGCCTGGCAGCTGATGGTGTGCAAGTTGAACCATCCACAGAGCCTATGCTGAAATCTGGCTCTGGACTGCAAGGGGCGGATGCATCTGCACAGCATGCTGTCAATGCAGGAGGATCCTGGCTGCATGCACTGATCATGGCAGGCGAAGGTGTGCAAGTGGAATTGTCTGCAGAGCCTGTACTGAACAGGGCCTGCCCCAATCTGGCCCTGGACAGCAGGTGGCGGATGCATCCGCATGGCGCACGTTTCAGCTGCTGTGGGTGCTGGAGAGGCCTACCTGGGTTCTAAGGAACCTGACAACATCTGAGAAGCTTGCGTTCTATGTTTATCCTACGCATTAAGGTTCTGAGCAACCAATTTAGCAATCCAGAAACAATGCAGAGCATCCGCACAGCCCAAGCACTGAATTGGCCCAACTAACACTCTTTGTTTGCTGCACATAGAGGTCTTTGAAGCAGCTATAATCATTTGGGAGTCAAAAGCACTTGCATACATTGGCTACAGAAGGCTCAAGTCCACAGTGAAGCAATATATACAGGCTAGAACTGAAAAAATAAAAGAGCAAGAAATGCGGAGGGTTCCGCACTGGAGAACAGTCACATGACATGGTCCGTGGATGGCCTGCATGATGGCATCACAACGATCACGGGGAGAGCCAGGAGCGGATGGATCCGCAGCTGGTTACAGGGCTTGTTGCGGATGCTTGGCACCCATTTGCGGAGGTTTTGGTGCGGAGGATGGCCAAAAGTGCGGAGGGTACCCCCCCTGTTAGGTACCCAAATCAGTCGAATTTTGACCCCTAACAGGGGGGGGTACCCTCCGCGGCGGATGTTCCTTAGGTGGAACACCACCGGAGCGTACAATCTCATTGTCTCCCGAACAAAGTTCTTGAGGAACGGGAGCGAGTTGAGTTTGTCCATGGATGGATTGTCCGTCGGGAGCGAGAGCAGCTCCTGCCGCAGCTTGTCTTGGATCTCAGGATTCTGGGACAGCGCGTGAGCCGCCCAGGACAATGCTGTACTTGTAGTCTCGTGTCCTGCGGAGACAAAAGTCGCAATTTCTGAAAGAAGATGTAATTAGAGGACTTCAACAGACAGAAAAACGCACGTGAGATGACCTCGTCGTCAGTCAGGCGCTGACTGGCCTGAATCTCGTCTGACATGTTCGCCTTGATGAGGAGCGACAGAAGATCCCGCCCGCGGTTTAATCCCTTTCCGTCGCTGATAGACGCTGATTTGGCTTTGGACTCGTAGAACAAGGTCTTTCCGATTGCCCGGAGTCTTGTCTGGGCAACGCAGGTGACGTGCGATCCGGGAAGAGGCTAATTCACATCGTCGTCAGTAGGTGGGCCTGTTGGCTGAGCCTAGTTGCACGCACAAGCAGTTTCAATGCTGGCACCAGGACTTGAGCCAACTGGATTGACCGATACAGATTGGCCTTCGGAGAATGGAACAATTGCCGAAAGACTGTGCCAAGCTCAGCTTCGTCTTTGCCATGCGTCTGGAGAGCATTGAACTGATATCCAAATCCTATCTCCTCTCAATAAGATTCAATTGATTGGGACAGTTTTCTGCGTACCAGCTTGGCCGATGATGTCCAGAGTTACCTGGCGGAACCAGCTTGATAGGTCGATTGTCGCGGGACCTCTATTGTCTCTGAGTCGTTTGGTCAACATATCGCGCATCTGACATATTATGAGGTTGGGCCTGAAGAAGATTGGGCTGAGGCTCTTGCTAACCATGTTCCCTTTCTCAACGAAAATTTCGTTCATAGCCCGGATCTGTGGAATACCAAATGCGGGGTTCTATACCGAAGCTTTCGAATCCAACAAGAGATTCGTCGAGATGTGTTTGCTCACAAGAACTCTCCGCTACATTGATGAAATGATCAGAGGCCAAGTGCTGTCGCAAAAGGCAGGGCAGGACACTCATTGTTGACATAGGATGGCTTGCCTGTCGCTTGTGAGGATCCAATTCGACGGACAGGATCCCTTCCCCGAGAATCCGCCGTTGATTTCCCAGCGATGTATGCGTCTTCTGATAGAGCGCGCCGTGAGTGACGATATGTGCCACCGCCTTGAGATCCTTTGTGTGTAGCTCGTTCTTCTGTGGTACATGAGCGCTACAGCACAGAGTGTCCAGGGGGATCAATGAACGCACAAAAAACATGCCCTTGGCCATGAACGTCGGCCCGTATTGGGCTCTCCATTCGTTCGTGATCCCGGGATTGTCCTGCGATGAGTTCTTTCAGAACGGGTGTGACCCGGCAAATGTCTGGCGCCGAACCGATATCAGTTGAAGGTGTCCCAGAATGGGATTGACACAGGACGGGCCGTCGACGAATTTAAGAGGCGAGGTCCAGTTGCGGTACAGGATTCGCACGACGTAAACCAAGACGTAGGAGAGAAGCGTGTAGACAATTGGGAGCAGGATGTTGGAGATCATGCTTTCTTTGGAGTGTTAATGCGGTTTGGGAGGTGAATGGCTTGGTGGTGCTTAAGTACCCATCTTTGATGCCCCGTTGATAGGCTGGCTACCAGACGCGCTCTGCACCAACTCTGTAAGGGCGTATTTTTGCGCTTTTACAGAGTTTACTCTTGAACCACTCGGTGTATCGTGTCGCGGTTGACAGTGTTGCGCTCAGTAGGACTTAAGGGTCTACTGCCCAGTCGACGACTGTGGATAGTGTCGACGATAGCAAGGCAGTCAGATCACTACTGTGGAATTGGTCTTATGAGTCTACACCAGGCTCAGGGCCATTAGTGACGAACGCTTGGACCGCGACCATTCCCCAAAAAGGGATCTGTCGTTGCGTCGACTTCTCGAAAAGGGTCATTCTCTGCAGATGGGAACTTGGGCTGAAGGGCTGAGCAATGCGCGACGTTCTCAATAATAGAACTACTACTGGACAGGACTTGGCGTTACGAGACTTAAACCATCTTGTCGCGGCAACTCCCGGTTCTGAGTTGGACGTTTCCTCAGATCATGCCACGACGACGACTTGTCACATGTCAGGATCCATTCGATCACGGGACATTGAGGACGCGTCGCGGTGACACTCCCAAGTGCCACGGCGATTCGCGTCAACACCCAAACACACGAGAAATCGACACGGCTAGATCCGTGAGCCGAACCATGTGGGGGACGACTGGCGTGCCTAGGGCCATACGGCTTCTTGGGGCGCCCACGTTGGTCTCACATGCCAAGACATACCCGTTGGCCAATCCAGCACGTCGTATTCCAAAAGTATGACGCGGTGGGTTGACCCACATCAAAAGTATCATAGGGACAATGGGGCGGGGTCCTGATCACTCAGGACCTGTCCGATCGTTCAACTTTTCAATTACCCTAAAAGGCAACCGATCTTAGATAGCGTAGCTACTATGCAGTTGTACAGGACTTTACTAAGCAGCGTCGTAGACAGTATAAGTAGCACGTCGTCTCTTTGTATTAGAGGAGCTTTTCCCCGGACTGTGAATCACTCTCATTTCAGATTGTTTTGTACAATTTGCGTGCCGCGTGATTCCACCCTAAGAAGTTCTGCTACCCCTGCCCGGTCGCGACGAGTTGCTCCCTGAGCACTTGTAGCTACTGTGATTTGAGTTTGAGTTGAGACATCAGAAAGTCGGATTCGCCGCATCTGGTTTAGTCGCGGCATTTAGTGTCGTCGCCTTCGGGCTTTGTTGAGATCGTTCCACACCTCTAGCTTGGCAGTGCGTCGACTAGTTGTGCTCGGGTTGTTTTGGTCAGTTGGCAGTGCGTCGACTTGAGAACTTTGGTTCCACACTTCTTGCTTGGCAGTGCGTCGACAAGTTGTGCTCGGGTTTTGGACATTGGATATTGGCTGTTAGTTGGCAGTGCGTCGACGCGGCATTTTGGTTTACTAGTTGGCAGTGCGTCGACTCAGTACTTTTGGTTTACTAGTTGGCAGTGCGTCGACTCAGTACTTTTGGTTTTGTCAGTTGGCAGTGCGTCGACTTGACATTTTGGTTTACTAGTTGGCAGTGCGTCGACTTAGTATATTGGTTGTATCGGTTGGCAGTGCGTCGACTTGATATTTGAGCTTCGCGTCGCCATCTGGACGCTGTCGCTACAAGGGATCTTAATACTTCGTATTAAGCTCTGACTTGTTATATTGTTGTTTGTGGATTGGATTAGTGTTGGTTGTGCTCGTATAGAAGATATTGGTTGAGACACCATTGTTTGCTATATATAAATTCTTGTCGTCGACTTCGTCTCCGCGACTATTGGATCTGCGTCTATTGAGAGTTGTGATACTGGTGCTCTGTCCACCCCGAAGCCCTCGCATCTTTCACACACTGAGAAGCTGATTACGAGGAGTGTGAACGTGTTTTATATTTGGGTTTACTTTCATAGTAGATTCACTTGTGAGCACGCCCTCAGCATTTCATCTGGAGCCCACCGCGAGGGGCTTCTAAAGTTTCATAAACTTTAAAAATCAATAAACCGGGTTCTTTACCGCGACGTCGGATAGAGACCAAGGGTTTATCCCGCGAAGCAGTTTATTTCGATCCCAAGCTCCTGCGCGACCTCTCGAGGACCAAGCGGAGATTGAGACTGAAGGAAACGCTTCAACCTCAGGACCTTTCGAAAAACCACGAAGGTCTGCAAGACATAAAACACCTTTGTATCTACCACCCTTGCCTTCCAAGGCAAAAGGAAAACAAAGAGTGAATTCGACGTCGAAGCTTCCAGCTTTAGACACAGCTACTTCGAGTTCGACGACAATCAGTCGATCTCAGACTAGCTCACAAACCCTCTCAGAATTGTCAAGTAGCGTCACCGCTACAAACACGAATTCTAACAACATCCCTACTTCCCCTGTGACTTCAGTCGCGACAACTATGGCTCCAAAGACTGGGTTCAAAATCCCTCAACCTTGGGACACAAGTAGACCTATACTTGATGAAAAGGATCCTCTGTCGATTGAGGCATATTTGCGTCACTGCGCGCAGATCGTGGAGGATGGTGGCATCACAGATGTCAAACAGGCAAAAAGCATGTACATCCGTTATTTGCCGTCGCGGCAAGTGATGGACGTATGGGAAGGTCTCGATACCTATTCCGACGACACGAAAACTGTCGCGGAATTCGAGGCCGAAATATTAAAAGGATACCCTGAGGTGTCCAAGCGAAAAACGGGGACCATGGCAGATCTAGACAGGCTCTGTCGCGAGAACCGTGGAATCAAAATCACGGATGAGGGAGATTTGAAGCGTTTCGGCCTTCAAATGTATAGTCACTACAAGCGACTGTCAGTCCCTCCTGCCATTATCACCAACAAAGTCGCGTGTGAACGCTACATGCGTACTTTGGACTCTGAGTTCAGTACCGTCTTGCGAAATGCTTTGGCTACGAGTCAGGTATTCAACAAGCGCTACCAAACTCGCGCCGGGATAGTGAACGCTAATGTCCCCGCGACTGGAGTCAATCGGCAGGACGACCCCATCCAGTTGAAAGAACTAATGACAATGGCGGAAGAAATGGCGTCGACGTTGAGCAACGAAGACGAAATTCCCATAATCGCGCGACCTCCCAAGGTTCGTTTCGACTATGAGACTAGTCCACCCAACCATGCTAAGGTTGAGGAGTTGGAAAACTCGATTTCCAACTTGAAGGATTCATTTCTTCTACACCAAAAAGAGCTACAGACTCAGTTGCAGGAAGCGCTGAAGACGTTCGTACAGACTGCTCGCGAAGCGCCCATACAGCGGTCGCGGCCAGTAGGCAACAACTCTTCTGTGCCCCACTTTGAAAGTCGCGCACAAGGAGGAGCTGCCGCACGGAACGACGATTGTCGCTACTGTGGACAAACTGGTCATTGGTCGAACGAGTGCCCGCTCAAGAGGTCTCACATTGAGAAAAACCTTCTCAAAGTCGACACCAAAGGGATGTGGAGGCTCTTCGACGACAGTTTCCTACCAAATGGAGAAGGGACTCAGGGACAACGAGTAGAGGCTTACTGGAAGAAGAAGGGCAAATCCGTCAACTTCCAGGACTCCTACTACTTGGATCAGTTCGATAGTCGCGACAATGATGATATGTCCGACTACCCTGAAGAAGTGGCAGATGAGATACGCTCCCTTCGTAGTCAACTCATCCAATATGAGAGGAAGTCGTCGCGGCCAACTCCAGAGAGTCGCGCTGAGCCAAAGACTCAACGAACTGCATCTGGTTCAACCAGCAATGCAATGGAAAGTGCCATGGGCCAATTCATGCAGAAAGCCATGACCGACGCCATGGCCGGCTACTTCAACAACATGAACAGTGGTTATCCTCAGACTCAGGAGCAGTTCATTCAAACCCGTCGTGGTGCGAATAGCCAACCTGAGCGCGACGATAACAACTCGGGTTTCTAAATGGTTCAAGGAAGGGGGCTAAACCCACAAACTCAGCCAAGCCCTCTGAGGACCATGATAAACGAGCTGAGCGACGAGAGAAACCGAGAAAACCTGTGACTATTGAAGAAGTTAGTGATAGCGACGATGATGAGGAATCAGTGCGCGACAACGTCGAAAACAGAAAGGAACTACCGTTTGAGAAAGTCAAGCCCGTTCTACAAGAACCAGTACATTCTTCAAAAGCGCGCGTTCCAGATAAATACCAGTTGCGTGCACCGATTCAAAAGAAGGCTGTGGCAGAAGCAGTCTACGACAAAATGAAAAACGCGTCAGTCGACGTCACTGTGGGTGAACTCCTAGCAGTTTCGGGGACTGTTCGCGACTCCATTCTGAAGGACTCTTCGAAGAAACGAGTACCGGTTCAGAAGTCCATGCTTCAAGAAACTAGTCGCGTTGTTGAAGACGTTTGGGATGGAGAACTGAGCTACAACCTAGTCAGTGCTAAGGAATTGCCCGAACCTGTGTTCTATCATAACACAGTTGAAGGAGAAATTCCCATTGGCGCAGTTGTCGCGACGGATCCATATGAGATGTACTTGGAGTCGATACCCTCTAATGAGAACCCAAGACATGTCTATGTTGGTGATTCGTCGGCTGCTCTCAGAACAATAAACGGACGGATTAACGCGCGTCTCGACGCGGACTGCATCCTAGACAGTGGATCTCAGATTGTATCGATGGCTTTCTCAGAAGCCGTCGACGCACAATTGAGCTGGGACCCAAAGGTCGTCATATATATGGAAAGCGCAAATGGATCTATCTCTAAGTCACTGGGATTAGCGAGAAATGTACCCTTCAGGTTTGGGACCATCTTGGTCTACCTGCAGGTGCACATTTTGGAAAGTCCAGCTTATAAGGTGTTGCTCGGCAGACCGTTTGATATCGCGACAGAAAGCAATATCAAGAACGCGGCCGACGGCAGCCAAATAATCACTATGCGCGATCCCAATTTAAAGACACGTTGTGCAATGGCTACGCAGCCACGTCGTGCAGACGACTTGCCGCGTAACACTAAAAACAACG